GCGCTACCTCGGGGGCGGTGCTCGCCGCCTGCGCGAGACGGCGGCTCCGGGAAGGAGAAGGAGGAGGAGGAGGAGGAGAAAGGAGGAAGGAGGAAGAAGGAGGGACCGGTACTCGCCGGATCCGCTTTCTCCGACTCCAGCTGCTGCGCAGGAGGAGGCGGGGGAGGAGGCTAAGCCGCGGCTGGCGCCGGTTCAGCACCTGGGCAGGGAACAGCGGCACGGCTGCCGGCGGGAGCCGCCCCCGCTGCCTGCCGGAGGCCCGCCTGCCTGCCGGAGCCCGCTGCCGGCCGGAGCCCGCACTCCCTGCCCCGCCGCACCGTCCTCACCCACGTGTTGCGGCCCCTCGGTGAGCCGGGCCCCTCGCTCCCGGTGGCGGCGGGCTCTTGCTGCCGAGCCGGGAGGGGTGCGGCTCCCGCACCGCCACCGCCCCTCGTCTCCGCCCCAGCTTCGCTGCTGAAGCTTCGGGGGCGAGGGGAGGGGGAAGGGCCGCAAACCGCCTGCACTTCTGGACCTGCTGCTGCTGCAATGCTAAACTACATCCGCTTGGGAGGGTTAAATCAGCGCAGGGCTCCGAAAAAAAATGAGCCTCCGGCCAGGTCTGGTGCCGTCTGTGTGGTGCTGCAGTGTGTTTGACGACCTCTTTCTTGGAGAGCTGCCCCGCTGCTCCCTCGGAGATTCATCCTTGCTGCAGCACCGTCCCTCTGCCCAACCCCTGTGGACCCCCCGACCCCGCTTCCACCCTCCTGCTCAGCTCCCTCTCACCTTGCTGCAGGCGCTGTGCCCTGACAGCAGCTCGGCTGGTACAATTCTGCAAGTCACACCCACGAGTTATGAGCATTTAAGGTGGGCTTCAGTTTCTCATGCAATGCAATACACAGGCTCAAGGTGATCAAGTGCAGCTGGAGAGAAGATGGAACACAATCTCTTTTCCAGTTACAGGTTTTTTCCTTCTCTAGCCTTGTGATGGAGGACTGACAAAAAACAGGGCCATGAAATTGAACAAACTCAACAGCAGGGGTGAGGGTGCTGCAGCTGCAATGAGTTTTACCCCAATACCACAAATCCCAGCAAAGACGATAAACGTAAGCATTCATTCATACAACAGCTAAGTCACTAAGGTGACATATTTAATGAAACAAATCACACAGGACATAGTCCTTCAGGGGTGCAACTATGTTGTACCTACTCCCCAGTGCATAAACTGCTTCTCTGCTAGTATTTCTCTCCCAGATGGGTTGATTTTTTTTCCTTGCTTACCCCACAAAGTCTTTTGGAATGTTCAATGAATCCTCTCTGGATTGGACTGGTCTATCAAGGGGAGGGGGTGACCCTAACATTCAGCTAAAACCTCTTTCATTGCCCTTTTTGGGCCCGGGCACCCTTCACCATGTAGGTTGACTTTTGAGAGCACAACCTTACACTACAAATCCCCAAAGTTTTTACTATAATGTACCTGATACACAAACCCCAGAGAACAACTGCCCTAATTCTGACTCAGCACTGCTAAGAACAATTACCAGTCTATCAGCTTTTATCAGTGGCCACCATTATCAAAAGGGACAACATTAACAGCAGGATTACCCCATTTATGTTTTGGCTGATGGGTTCCTTTACTTCTCAGCCCATTTTTATGGCCCAAATATTTGCCCTCATATTTATTCTAATGTGCCCAGTACCCCAGTGTCTGCAAATACTGCTGTGGAACCACCCAACCCTGTTTATCTTTTTAAGTAGGATAAAAGTAGGTCCAGACCAAGAAGGGCAGATAGAGATGCCAAGTGCCTAGAACATCTGGAAATTTGTCCATTTCATCCAGTTGTCTAAACAGGAGCCAAACACTTAAAAAAAAAAAGAAATCAGCTTCAAATTTTTGGCTAGCTACCCACCTTCAAGATCACAATATTCAGATTCAGAACAAAATGTCCTGACAGCCTCACAAAAAAGCGGCTCAAAAAACCAACACCCTGCTAAAAGCTATAAAAAAAGTTATAGCAGCACTAATATACACGGACTATGTGGCCTTGTGTCAAAACAACTTGCAGTCATTGCATAAAACAGAAGCCTGAAGGGACACACCCTCAGTCTTCCAGACAATCAAATAGCAGTTTCATCCAGACAGTCCATGGATCATCTCTGCCCCACACCTCTCGTCTACAGCCACAAAGTCTTCTAACAAACATACAGCACACCAATAAAAGGCCAAAAGCCACAGCAACATTGGCAACATCTAAGGCCCTGCCTTAAGGAATGTGTTGGTAGAGACTCTCCTGGAAATGGACAATGCCCATGCCAAGAGGTGGTGGGAAAACAAAACTCATCTCTGTAGGCAATGCCTTTCTAACCACAAGTTGATTTTACTTACAGCGTGTGAATGAAACACACCAGTCACACATCCAGGGGTTTTTAATGCCAGCGAAGAATCTTTCACACTGTTCTGAGACCCCAGTGTGTTACTTCTGATAGACATTCAGACTCTGCTCTAGTGCATTTCAACTGGGTCCCCCAGCAAGGAAGGGCTGACAAACGCTCAAATCCTGGCCCACCTCACTATTTACATGCTACCTAGATTCATCTTTCCTCACCACCTGACTCTCTGTGGACAACTAAGGCTGCATACATCCAAAGTTTTGCAAAACACCACAGAATGTAAAACAGAACAGAGGTAAGACACAGACACTTAACCAAGCCATTCTAGAACATATTCCATAATCTTTTCATTCCCATCAAACATATTGCTAAACCTCAGGTTCTTAGAAAAAAATTCTTCTAATTTCAGAATCATAAGTCCTAGGATTGTCTGGCTTCTTGCCTTTTAGTAAGTTTTATAGCACCAATAAAATGGGTACTCCGATTTTCATTTTACAACTTAATACTGTAGCTTGGCTTATACACAGTAGCACTCTACAAATGTAACAGTCTTTCTCAAAATATTAGCTTTATACAGTTTATGCTGACTACACAGTTTATAAGTGATATACTGAAACTTCTTCTGTTCAGATTAAATGTTCCCCAAGCCCCTTTAAATCTACATAAAATTCATCGATGGCCACAGTAATTTTAGTTATTTCCATCAGCTTCAGTGGTAATGCTGAGTCAGTCCTGCAGGCCTCGATTTTTAATTCAGGAAAAACTTCCATTGAGAAAACACTTCAGGATCTGGTCTGTAGTAATATGGATTTTTCTAGTGAAAGGCAAAAATTGAAACACAGAAAAACATAATTTCAGCTTCAGTTGCATCGAGGCTTAGGGGCTTTCTAGTTTTCTTTTTCCCGGAGTTTTGTTTTCGAGTAATTTCCCGAAATTTCATCTAAGCATCAAATTTTGAAACACTTTCAAAGCTCACTAAATAAAAATATACGCAGTGAGTTCAGATCAACGCACATGAGCAAGAGAATCAGAATCTGTTCCTGCAGCAAAACCAGCTGATAAAACGTAACAGGCCCAAATATCCTTTTGGTGATAAACCTGATAACCTCTGAAGTGATGGGATACTGCCTGTATGCAGTATCTATATACACAGGCCTATTGAGCTTTGCTGACATACAAAAATTGCACCACTTTAATTAGCTTGGTTAAATTAAATGGTACGCATCCTTTAATGTGAGTACAAACATACAAGTGGAGCAAAGAATACATTGATTTTATCAAGTCCTGCAGAAGAAAATTAAGTATATATCAAGATAGTAATACAATGATATATATCTATGCTAAAGGTTGTAGTATTATAACTATTTTAGTCTGAAAAGTCCTGGCGTTCCTATGTAAGCCTTCCTTGAAACAGTTCTACATACAGATATGCCTGAGTTAGTAGCTGTGTAATGCAGTGCCACAGAAATACTTCTGTGCAGATATTTCTCTTGGGAGTGATACAATTATATACAGATATAGTTCTGTAGGGCCTTGAAAAGTTCATCCATTTCAAATCACACCTGTACAAGGAATGTTTTTATATAATTTTGTAACTAGAATCACCTAAATTTGCTTAAGCAGCAATAAATCTGTGTTCAGTTTGTTCATTGCAGAACACTATGCAGAGTCCTTCCTCTGGCTATTTCTGAGTCTCACACAGCAAAAAGAGAGAGAAAGGCATATAGAAAACAGGAAGATGTGAAAATACAACATGTTAAATGAAGAACTCTAAGGTATTTCAACATCTGAAAAGACATTTTGCTTGTTTGTAAATAATTTCACCTTCAGTAACTCACATCCCTTAAACATGATATCCAACGACTCAATGTCATGAAGCAGCTCCTTTCTGAACTGATGGCAAGTCACCAGCTCCAAGGATTGGGCTCTAGATTTTTGCATGTAGTCTTGTCAGCATGTAGGATTTTAGCAACAATGAGATTATTTGCATACCATATAAATGCACACACAGTTTCTGCCTACTGATAAAACAATGTAAAAAAATATGGAAACAAGTCTAGAGAATCCATATAGTTCAGCCATTACAAGCAGGTAAGCGGTGTCATTCTCTAGAAAAAACTAGATTTTTCTCTATGTGCCTGTTTGAATGTGCTGCCTACAATTTGTCTGCCTTAGAATTAAATCAAGTCAAGAGGAAAGGAACAGCCATCAGTCACTGGCCAAATTACGTCAACCACAGTGGAAAACAATACCCATAAACTGTAAGGGAATGACTCAAATTTGTGGAGTTTCTTATATACAGTTTTTTCCAGTGAGATGGTAGACTGTAGCACCATCTTCTAGCCCATGGGTACTCATGACAGCCATGGAAAAAACATCTTGATAATTTCAGGGGATGCTCAAACTACTTCTTCATTCCAACCCCATCTTTCACTTTACTCTCTTGGGATTCCTGCATTCTTCTGCATCCTACTTACTTCAGTCATGTCCCCCTCTCCGCTCTTCCCTGAAGGAGAATATGTACAGGATTGTTTCTGGTGACTTTCCATGTCTCAAGTACTATCTAGTCAGGAAGATACTACCTAGAGATGATAAGGCAACGTAAAGGCAGAAGTGAAAGGGACTCATACCCTACAGTGGCTCCCTGCCTGAAAAGCCTCCATCAGTCTTGATTTAGCAATCTGAGCTCAGAGATCCCAAAATATGAGAGCAGGTTCTGCAGTCAGAACAGAGCCACTGAGCAACCCCTTAAACAGAGCCCTGCAGCTGAACCAGATCTCTTTCAGTATATGGTCTGCATTCTCTGTATGGGATTTTCTGGGGACATGGGATCCTCCCTCTTCCTAAAAATACTGCAGAATGCCTCCCTGAGGTAATGTAAACTTCTTGTTTCTACACTTTGAAATAGATAGGTCTGGTGCCAAATTGCTCAGTTACATTGGCTCTGTTCTTTCATATCTTTCCCTAAATCCATTTTTCACATTGGTATGAATCTAACCGGTGAGAATTTTTTTTTTGGATCACAAACATCTGAAGCCAGACTATTTAAAACCTTGCTGTTATGGGAACCAAGGCTGCTAAACAGCCAGAAA